TCTCTCTCCCCCTGAGAACGGAGCTGGAGACGGTATCCTGCGATCCCAAATAAAGAATGATCGATTGGTAGGAAAACGGGGTGGGGGATTTTCCTGCAGACTTTTTGTGGGATTTTCCCAGGGTCTCTGGTCCGCGGAATTTAAAATTATGAGTTTGGTGGTCCCTGAGGCCCAAAAGGTTGGTGATCCCTGAGGTCCAAAAGGTTCGCGACCCCTGCTGTATAGCGTAGTTTTGAGGGTAGGAGTTGAAACATTTTATGTCCAGGATGTGAGGGGTCTGTAGTTAGTTCTGAACAGTGCTCGTTCCTCTTTTATTTATTTTTTTAGCCAATTTATATGGCTGCCCATATAAAGGTAGATCAGATCAGGGAATCAATTCCTCCAGGAGGAAGGCTGCAACGACTACTGTTATTGAGATTGGCTCTAATATCAGGATCTTGCAAATCTAATTGTGCTGTTCCTCCTCCTGTGAATCAGAGGCTGCTTCCAAATGTTATCTCCTTACTCTGGACTTAAAAATGCTTTTGGCTCCTTTTGCATAGGTAACATTTCTATGCATATTTCTGTCCAGGTCATTATCCTTACTCTGTACTTCATGCCACATCGCACCCCATGTAGCCCCTTTGTCACCAGAAGGCTTCTGGGTGTAATTCAAGATGCTGGCTATCATCTGTGAAAGCCCTGCAAGAGGTCCACCTCTACAAAGATGGTTTTTGCCCAAACAGATAAGATCTGGCAGTCATCTCTTCTGGTCCTGTCAATCAAGCAGTTCCATCTGGTAGGAGCAGCCCTTTCCTCTTTGGAACAGAATCAAATGCGCTTAGCCCCCACTTTACTGGTGTTAAAAGGGCATGGCCTCTGTCCATTGGGTTGAGTGAGCCAGGGTGTCCTCCGCAAGTTTAGGTTGAAAATGATGTTTTCTTATTGGTATTTTATCTGTAGTCAGTTTTTAGTCTACCTGTTCAAAGCTGGCGCAGAGTTTGGTGCAGAGGTGGTATCCAGCAGGTTCTGACTAGTTCTGGAGAACCGGTAGTGGAAATTTTGAGTAGTTCGGAGAACTAGCCAATACCACCTCTGACTGGCCCCGCCCCCTCTATTCTCCGCCTCCCGAGTCTCGGCTGATTGGCTGGGTCTTCTTTGGTTGCCCTGCACAGGAGAACGGAGCTGGAAAGCAGGCTAACGGGGTGGGAAGGGAATGGAGATTTTGCAGTAACCTACCCCTGCCATGCCCACCAAGCTACGCCATGCCACGCCCACCTAGCCGTGCCTACAGAACTGGTAGTAAAAAAAATTTGAATCCCCACCATTGGTTGGGTGGCCCTTGCAAGTTTAATAAAATGAAACTACTTTTAGGTAGTTACTACAGAGAAACTAATTAGCTCTGGAAGTGGCCACCAGGACTTCCTGTTGGGTGAAATTCTTTCCTTGGAGGCATTTATTTAGGTCAATGTCAAAAGGCTGAGCGCCAGAATATGGATCCGGAGCAACCGTATCTGCACGAAGGAAACCTGGTAAAATGGAGAAGGTGGTTGGGTTGATATGGAACTTCTGAATTCAACAACCTTAAGGAAGATCAGGAAAGAAAGCTGCGGAGTGTTAAGATGACAAGTAAGCAGGAACCTTCCAGTGTGGCAGGTGCTCCCCAGATTACCTTTAAGTATGCACCAAACCCTTGGACTAACTTAGCCATCTCCAGTGTTCTGGGAATAGAAAGGCAGTTTAAAACAAAGAGAAAAGAAGTAGTTTTATACCCGACCGAAAGGCTCTGGAGCTGGGCAATATTGAGTTGTAGCACAACATCTGAAATGGTTAATCTCCGAGGTCCCAGATTATGTCCCAAACGTGGCCGTATTTAATCTCTAATAAATACTACCGCTCTAAATGGCAATCCTGCACCCACTCATGCTAGATAGCTTCGGACGTGACCCTCAATGACATCCCGGACTGTTTACAAAATAGAGGAGCTGCTGAACTGATTGGAAACTGATCACAGCGACCACAAACATAAAGACATAAGTAAGCCAAGCAACTTACAAAATAGTCCTCGCTTGATTTGAAGAGCACCTTCTCTAGAAGGAAGGGAAGGAAGGGATAAGGGAAGGTTGGGAGGACCTCATGATGTCTCAGGGATGGTTCCTCTGCTGTCCATGTCAAGCCCCTGCCTTGGCTGCAAGCTTTTCTCCTCCTCAGAAGTAGAGAGCTGGAAACGGGGCAGGTGTGAACATTAAATTTCTAGCTGTGAAAAGCGGAAGAAAATTCTTCATGGTCCTGCCCCGACATTGGCGATTTATGAAATTCCCAAGGGTTCGGGATTAGTGGGGGAAGCCAGTTTGAGGACCCCCCAAGGAGGAAACAGGCTGCTGAGCAGTAAATGCAATTGCAGGCAGGCAAAAGGTTCCTCAGATCACAGACTCTCTGATGTTGATGATCTTTGGCAGAACAGGAATGGGGGGTGATATTGCCGTTCTTGTGCTTCTTGATCTCTAGGCCGGGGCTCTCCAACCTTGGCCACTTTAAGACTTGTTGGACTTCAACTCCCGGAATTCTTGGAGTTTGAAGTCCACAAGTCTTCAAGTGGCCAAGGTTGCAGACCCCTGCTCTACGCAGCCTTCAAGGCCATGAGTTGTAGTATCCTTCTGGAAAAGCCGATGCGGTTGGGAGTGGTCCCATCCATTTGATACCGGGGGGAGGGGGAGAGGTCGAGTCCACCGCCCCTTGAACGTGGGGGGGTGCCGCAGGGGCTTCAAACTCCCCCTTTCAATGTATCTACATGACACCACTGGGGGAGGAAATGACACATGTTGACCCCATGATGGCTTTTGAGATCCTACCCCAATGCCTGAATGAGGTAGAACATACTCAATCCTGACATTACTGAGTGGTAGCAGAAATCTGGACTCCCGATTCTGGGGATCTTCCATCTTTTATTTTAGATGAGGCTGCATTTCCTCATTTGAGACTGTTGTGCCATTTGGGGGGGTTGTCTTAGAGCTCCTGCTTAAGAAGCAGGAAGCTGCCGAGTATTCATGATTTATCTCAACTCCTGGTTGATGGATGATCTCATCCAGAGGCTTTGTGTAGATGTTAAACAGGAGAGGAAAGAGCCCTGTGAATGGTTGAGGGCTGGATCTCTAACTCCTTATCGATCGGGATCGATCTTGGAGAAAGGAGCTGAATTAGTGCCAGCCCCAAGTCACCCCAAAGGATGTTGTGGTCGCTGAAGGCGGCTGAGAGGTCAAGGAGAGTGAGAATGGTTGTAGTGCCCCCTTGGCACTCCTGCCAGAGATCGGCCAAGATAGGTAGGTAGGTATAGATGATAGATAAGATAAGATAAGATAGAAATAATTCTTTATTGGCCAAATGTGATTGGACACACAAGGAATTTGTCTTGGTGCAAATGCTCTCAGTGTACATAAAAGAAAAGATACGAATCATCAGGTACATCACTTAATGATAGTCATAGGATACAATCAGCAATCAAATCACACTAGGAAACAGTCAATATAAATCGTAAGGATACAAGCGACAAAGTTACAGTCATACAGTCACAAATGGGAGGGGATGGACGAAAGGAAGGATGAGAGGATTAATAGTAATAGTAATGCAGACTTTGTAAATAGTTGGACAGTGTTGAAGGAATTATTTGTTTAGCAGAGTGATGGCGTTCGGGAAAAAACTATTCTTGTGTCTAGTTGTTCAGGTGTGCAGTGCCCTATAGCATCATTTTGAGGGTAGGAGTTGAAACAGTTTATGTCTGGGATGTGAGGGCCACTGAGGCTGTGTCTGTCCCATCGTCAGGCCTGATTCCGGACTGAAAGGAGTTTCATCCAGGACTCCTTTCCCCCCTTTTTTCTGCCCCCCCGCCCCCCCAAGTTCTTGATCTGCTGTCACAGCCTGTCTCTCTTTGCAGCGGTGGAAGTCCCAGTGGTTTGTCCTGTACCCAGCAAGTCTTCACGGAGTTGCCCGTTTGGAGTTCTTTGACTGCAAGGAGGGGGCCACCCCGGTGGACCGGATCAGTACCAAGAAGCTGGACAAGAAGATTGTGCGGCTGGCAGATTGCGTGAGTGTGGCTCCTGCCTTGGACTGCAGCCCCAAGGAGGGCTTGGCCGCCTTCTGCCTGGAGACCAACAGCCGCACCTACGTCTTCGCCACTGAGCCACAGGAGGCAGCTGACTGGGTGGCGAAGCTCTGTGAGGCAGCCTTTCTGGTGAGCGGGACTGGCGGGCCGGGGGTGGCCCAAGGGGGCGGTAGCTAAAGCAAAGGTAGAGCTAAGAATAGGACTAGGACTAGGACTAGGACTAGGACTAGGACTAGGACTAAGAATAGAATAGAATAGAATAGAATAGAATAGAATAGAATAGAATAGAATAGAATAGACAGGATGGAATGGAATAGACGGAATGGAATGGAATGGAATGGAATAGAATAGAATAGAATAGAATAGAATAGAATAGAATAGAATAGAATAGAATTCTTTATTGGCCAAGTGTGATTGGACACACAAGGAATTTGTCTTTGGTG